GATGGCCAAAGTTGGAACATCTACTGTTGACCTTTCTCCCAATCTTGGACTGCTGTAAAGCAAACCCATATGTGTTATGGAAGGTTTTCATGGCTGAAATCACTGGGTCGTTATGTGTTTTCTGGGCTGCCTGGCCATGTTCCAGCAGCATTCTCTCCTGACATTTCACCCACATCTATGGCAGGCATCCTCAGAGGTTGTGAGGTCTGTTGGAAACTAGGCAAGTGGTGTTTATTATATACTTGTGGAATAATGTCCAGGGTGGGAGAAAGAACTCTTGTCCGTTGGAGGCGAGTGTGAATGTTGCAATGAGCAAGCTTGAATAGCATTGAGTAGGCTTGCAGCTGCAAAGTCAGTCAGTGAGGGGATCTACATAGAGATCTGTTGGAAATGAGGCAAGTGGGGTTCACACCTCCCTCCAACAGACAAGAGTTCTTTCTTCGGCATGGGCAATCCATGATTCTAAATGGTTCTGAAGTAGTTACAAAACTAGGGGGCGCTGTTGCTTTGCTTCTAAAGCGTTACTAAAGTTTTGGTGGTGAAAATTTCAGAACTTTAACAAAACTTTCAAAATTTCATTATTATTTTGTTATTGGTGATTTGTATGACAGAACCAATTAGGAACTGCCATTTATAACGAAATTTTGAAAGTTATAGTTTTGTAAGTACTTTAGAAACATGGATTGCCCATGCCTATTCTTTCTCCTACCCTGGACATTACTCCACAGATATGTAAACCTCACTTGCTTAGTTTCCAACAGAATTCACAGCCTATGAGGATGCCTGCAATAGATGTGGGCAAAATGTCAGAAGAGAATGCTTCTGGAACATGGCCAGGTAGCATATATATATATATACACACACACACACACACACACACACACACACACACACACACATACACACACCACTTGCTCATTTCCAAAAGACCCCTTGTTGGGTTTCATCCCTCACTGCACAAGTCTCCAGCCCTCAATGAGTCGGTAGCCTCGATAGATTAGAATAAGGGATTCATTCCCCAATTTCCCTGTGCATGTCTGTCTCAAGAAGGGGCTTTGAAGGGTGAGGGGTTTCTTACTCATCTGGCATGCCACTATCTCTTCCCCCTTTGAATACTTAGCAGTGTGATCTCTTTAGGGAAGACATAATTTTCTCTTTCAAGGTATTTTGATTGCCCTGGGCTGGACATGCGGCCTGTCTCCATTTTTCTGGGTCTCTCTCCATTTGTTCTCCTAGAGAAGTGTTTCTCAACCTGGAGGTCGGGACCCCTGTGAGGGGTCGCCAAAGACCCCCTTTGGCGAGGAGTCGCCAAAGACCATCAGAAAACATAGTATTTTATGTTGGTCGTGGGAGTTCTGTGTGTGAAGTTTGGTTCAATTCCATCATTGGTGAACTTCAGAATACTCTTTGATTTTAGGTGAACTATAAATCTCAATAACTACAACTCCCAAATGACAAAATCAACCCACCATCCCACCAGTACTCAAATTTGGGCGTATCAAGTATTTGTGCCAAATTTGGTCCAGTGAATGAAAATGCATCCTGAATATCAGATATTTACACGACAATTCATAACTGTAGCAAACTTACAGTTATGGAGTAG